TTGTTTATATCTTATAAAGTATATCGTGATATTATTTAAAATATTTTACTTTTGTCAGTGAATATATTCTTCTAAAATGTTTGAGAATATGTCAAATTTAATTTTTTGCAAATAAAAACTATATATGCTGAACCAGAACTGGAGTTATATTTGTGCGATATCCGAGCTTTAAATCTTGTTAGTGAAAATATCACACAGTTCTCTTTGGTTCATTGGGATTTAGAAAGATAAAGTTGCAAAGGCTTTGAAGAATATTGTATGGCATTTTCAATTTAAACAGATATCTATATTAATGACAAATGTAGCTCGATATTTTTACAAAACAATCTTTCATGTACCTTTTCTTACAATTATAAAAATGGCAACACAATAGCACAAACCTGGAGGTTTCTATTCATGGTCACAACTCTCAACATTATATTTCACATTTTAACATGCACAACAAAAAGTCAGATTGTTGACAAGAAGGAATATGTATATAAGATAATTATATTTTCTGTATAGGTAAAGTGAACAGGATCGAAACATCTGTTTTTGATGCTTACTGCTGTATCTAATTTATATAATTTACTTGTTTTCCTTCACCATTATTTACAAGTTTTATTCTACAGTAACAAAGAAGGTTACACTTATTTTGTAACTGGAAGTTCGATCGTTTTCGGTCCAGTAATATTTAGTTCTGGAAATATGAAACTAATTACCGAATCGAGCAAAAACTCAAATTTGAAAGGTTACCCATTGACAATCGTTATTGTATTTGAAAATGGTAATGTTAAGTCGTTTAAATAAATGACAATTTTTGATATTTATTTGAAAATATCCGAATTAAACTATTTCTCTGTATGCTGCACACCACCCCTTTATAAATTGCTAATGACATTTTCAGGAAAAAGAAAAACTTTGAATTTACGATTATTTTATAAAAATAACGTTTGAATGTACCATTGTAAAGCACCCCTGAACACGTAAGTGAAAGGGTGAGAGGAGGGGTCTATATACATTTTGTAATAATAATAATTGGTCATTTCATTCATAAATTGACCTGGTATTTGCCCAAATATATATATATGGACACCCATGAACCACATTGTATATTTATTTTTGAAATTGTTACATTTTATGACGTAAATTAATATTAAATCCAAATTGCCGTAAATTGTGTGGTGAATATGAAAGTAACCCTACTGCAAATAATTGGCATTGTAAGGTCCACTAAAATGGCCCACTAATAGTATTCTCGGTCTTCCTGTAAATTATAAGTGGCCTTTATAAACTGTGCATATTGCATATAGATTCAAAGTATTCTTCTTATGAAGACAGAAACATCCAATAACTTGCACTGTAATTAATAGACCATTTAACATGACAAGATAAGAAATGTTCATGGCCTTAATAGTCATTATATCTGGTAAAGACGAATTGAAAGGGTCAGGCTCAACTTAGCTAACCGCTCAATATATATATATATATATATATATATATATATATATATATATATATATATATAATTATTATTATTACACGGCTCTGTGTAACCACCTTGGTCTAACCCACTCAAAGTGATCTAAGCCATATTACATCACATTGTTCTTGAAGGATCTGACCAACTATTTAAACAAAAAAATCAAAGTGGTCTAAGCTAAGAAGTTAATTTCCGCCAGCACCCTTTTGACCCAATCAACTGAATAAATATGCAGCTAAAAGTAAATTGTGAAAAAGTGACTAAGATACAAAAATTATTAGATTTTTAATCTCCAAAATCTTTTTTTTTTGCAGAAAACAGTTCACATGGGTTAGCCCATACTGATTCCCTACACTTCAATTACTTAAAACATCATTTTTAAAATCAAGTGATGGTTTTTAACAATTATTAGTACTGTATAAACGTTAAAATATTGTTATCAATTTAATAAATGGTTTAGTTTGAGTAAATGCATGTTGTACAGTTTTCAGTGAACATTTTGGAAGACGAATGTTTTGATATCAACACAATATATATCGAGTGTAAATTTCATAAAGTATGAGCTATAATTTTCCGACATTTTCTTTTTCAATTTCTATGTGATAACTGTGTCTGCGAATGTTCGATTTTATAGCAATACCGTAGGGTGGTATAATAATTACTCGCCTACGAAATAGCCCGCAAGCTAGAAATTGGTGGCCGTGGACAGTTTTTCGCATAGGGGATTTTAACTGTTTATATTCTTCAATAGAGCTTTTTTTGTGGATGCCAAGTTTACCGTCTGTGACACGTCTTAAAATTTCGCATCGTAAATCGGTTTCAAAGTCTGTCATGGGTAGAAGGACGTCTGTTGTTGTATATATTATACAAGGGGAGATAACTCGGACTGTCTTCAATTAAAGTGCCGCATGCGGCTAGTGTTTGCCGGTAAGAAAGAAGTTAGTAATCTGCTTTCTAAACAAGAACGTGGGACATGGGCAAATTTTTTGTTTGAAACATGGGTAAGATATACACGATGGGCCTATTAGCATGTGTGAATTGTAAATACGTCAAGTTTTCAGTGTTCAACTTCTAATATCATCTTTCGTATGTTTTTCCGATTTTCAAGATGGCGTCTGATTTGTCTGGCTTTAAAAAAATGTTAAAGGATTTCCAATATAGGCCTATCTCACGAAAAATGAATTCTTTTATGGCCATACTTTACTGATGAAACAATTTGTATGTAAAGATTGTTGTAATTAGTCATCAATTTCGTTATCATGAACTATAATTACTTATATCTGTTGGGAAATAACGATACATGATATATCAGACCGGCCCCCGGCTTTCGATATTCTAATATCGACGACAGTAACTATGACATAAGGTTAACAATTATACATTCCGACTACCAAATGGATCATTTTCAGACCCATACCTGTATTATTATATGGTGTAAATTGTGTTATTATTCATGTATTTTTTCCCCGCGAATGGCGGTGCATATTGCATTTCTATTGGTTGTTAATTTGACCTATTAGCCAGGATGTGTTTACTGGGTCTAATGTAACGTGGGTGAGAGGCAAAGACTTGATAGGTATTGCTACACGTACTACATGGTGTCTTATTAATCGCTGTGTATGCATGGAGAACTGAAACAAATAAAATAAGTTGCTAGCATTAGGTCTATTTTATGTTTTCTTTATTTCTTTTGGTGAGTTTTTCATCCATGGTTATATGTATTACACGAGTTTTTGTGTATATTTAAAATCAAATTTTGCGAAATTTGAAAAATAATATAAATCTAATAAAACATTGTCATAATATATTATGTGATGGTAGGAATAGATTCAATTTGATACATTAGCTTGCATCCAATTGATATTTCCAATATATTGTAATAAAATATTTATACTAGTAACAAAACAACTTTGTTTATGTTTGTTTAATAAAGTATTCATTAAATGATAATAGTTTTATTACATACTATCAGTTTTAACATGAATGATATGATGTGAGCAAATGTTTTCAAATTCTACATGAACTACATGTATATGAGAGGAAAAGATTATTTTCAAAATATAGATATTCGCTTGACCTCGCGTATTTAATGTTGAATTTCCAATTATTTCATATTTGAAATAAGAATTGTAATCGTTTATATTTAATACTTTGGTGATTGGCAGTTTTATTATGGAGAACAATAGAACCAAGAAACTCTGATTTTAACGATGCATTATATTATGCAGAGGATTGTTGATAAAATATAAATAATTATTATTGTATTAATCTCTGAAAGATTCTACTATGTAAACGCGTCAATCTGTATTGATGTGGGTGTAAAAAAGCAACATTCAAGAGGTAATCGTTGATGGTTTCTATTATTATATCTTACCTAAGAGATAAATGCTGATGTCATCTAACAGAGTGTGTTGTGTTAACGTAGTAAAATGGTGTTGTAGTGAATCGGGTGTTCTTTCCAACCTAATTTGTATATATTGATTGATAATGATAATACTATACAGACGTGAGATCAGCACTATATATACTAAAATTTATTCGATCTGAGATGAGAGAATCTAGGGGAATTGGCTATAAATAGTATCAAAGCGCAATATATGCACATGTAATTGCCCGAACATGTTGCGTGTGACATTAAACACTATTTGGTTTTAAGCTTGCTTAACCACATGGAAGGTTAGTACCATTACAATTAATGTATTTATAATAACCAATATACCTCAAACTACGGATACAACTCCGGATACCTTGTTTGCACCTTGCATTTCTTATTACTTAAATATGCAGTTTCTCTATGACCTAAATTACAGTTGTTGACACCTGGTTTAGTAATCTAGTACTACGCATGCGCGTATGCATTACTGTCAATCACCTCTGATTATGCAATTGGCATTGTGCAATAACAAACATGGTTGGAAACATGCACTGTGTGCAGAGATGCACAGTCAGGTCATCCTGACATGATAGCCAATGTCATTCAATGTTTTGAATATGCCAGTTCCATATTGGCCTTATAATAAACAACAAAAAAGATGAAATGTAATGAATATTGTATAATAGTAAACTAGGGACACAGATTTATATAAAGGCTCTGGCCTCAATAAAATGACGCGCGTATAAGACCTTTGATCGTCTGTCTGATTTTCTAGACATGTCTATCTATACAACCAGACGGCATCATTTTAATTTTCTTACATGGTTTAAATCTTAGCTTAAAGACCTATAACATTATTGGAATTTAGAAATTACTATTTCAAATGCTCTACATCTCGTATTTAACACAATAGGTCGTTCATACTAGAAATTGTTGTTTTGACACACAAATACACTCATGTACATGTCGGAGATTTGCTACCAATCTTTATTCGCCTCATGACTCTCAGATTATATAACAGACATTGCGTAATGCCAGTCATTGACACAAATAATACAAACCTCCATAACATCAATAGTCCCTTGATTTATTTCAATACATGGGTTCATAATCTAGTATAATAATTTGAGAGTAAAAGAAAATACGTTTCTACCTTATACGTACCATATAGGTGTACAATGAAACGAACGTTGAATGTACAATAATCCATATACGAATAAGTAATCCCCATAAGAAGCACGCTATAGTCACCGTATACACTCCATTCAGAAAACATAGCATGTCGCCGCGTTTAATGTTGTCCATTTGCCTATTAGGCGTGTGTCCATGGTTGTATTTTATCAAAATATGAGCTTTGTGAGTCGTCGTCCGCTTGACTCTTCTCAAAGGTTGTATGCAAATTGTTTAGGTCATTTACAAACCGACATGCAATCTAGGCATGTCATAGTTATTTCCAACTGCACACATGCAAGATGGTGCATATTGAGGTCACCACGAACGCACGGGGCCTGCAGCGGGATTTATTTTTATAAGCCAATCACAAATGATGAAGTTTGAAGCATAATCAATTTGCTGACGGTTGACATGCACTTACTTTCAAGCTATATGCATTGCAGCTTGAATGTTGATATTATTACGTCATCAATATCAGCGAAGCGTTGCTAGTTATATGTCTGTGTATTTAGTGGGATCACGCGAGAGTACATTGACGCGGTCGTCTCGTCCGCTATTTTGATGCGGTAACCTGCTTGTCTAAGCGATTTCACATGTGGAATGTATTCAGGCAGTGAAACTGATACTGCTACTATCCGTTGGATAATGTCACGTCCATTTTGAATGTGCATTTAAATTAAATTGCTCAGCCCTATCTGGAGATAAATGTGATAACAGTATATAAGACGTTATATATAGATAGCATAGTGTTTAATATACAGCTGTATAGGTTTGAAAAGGGACATTCTTATAATTCTTAAAATTATCAACTCCCAATAATTTTGGTGGATTGAAAATGAAATGATTTTAGGTGTCAGTAAATTGGGTTATAAATGGCGATCACAGTAGATCATAACCAGTAAAATAATATAACATTGCTTTGTATTATAAAACAGGAGTTTCTTTTGGTATAATTGTTTAAATTAACATAACGAGGTCATAGATTCCATAATCGTCATTAAAAAGATATTACCGCGAATATGTGAAGGTCTTCTTTTGTGTAGAAGTTCAGTTGACAAGCAATAATATGGTATTTAATAGGTCAATGTGACTTTATTAATTAGTTCATATGTCTGAAAGAAATACATAATAGTTAGTTTCACTGTTGGTAATATAATTTCAGTATAAACTCCAATATACCCATTCTATAATAAATATTAAAGTAAATTAAAACCTGAAAAGCTTAGGGTGCATTAAAGAACTCAAAGGGCATTTTAATCATTATCTTACACTTATCAAACCCATGAGCAGTGGAATGTATACTAAGTTATGGTCGTGTGAATAAAAATACTTTTTGTGAAGATTATGTTGTTAATATAAGTTGTTAGAACACGTGTTGAATGTCAATGCTATATAAATATATCATTACATAACATTAATCAGAATTTATAAAATTAAAAATGCTGCCAGGTACTTTGTAGTTAAATATGCAAAAATAGGCCCAAAAACCCCCCGAAAAACGGATAACACCAAAATAGTGTCTATGAATAAATAAAGATAAACAAAAAAAACCCCCAAATGATTTGGAATTAGTTATTACTGATTGGAAATAGGTGTCTAAATAGTATATTGATATTAATCTCTTCTGCATTATGATAACTCCTTATGTTGTTTTTAATTGTTTGCCTTTATAGCAGTTGTATATTTATAATTCGATGACAAATTAAAAAATATATTTAGGAAGCAGGCAACTCCTTCAATTTTATATTATTAATACACATGCAGTGTTGGAATTTTATCTCACAAAAGTAAAAAAAAAAAAAATTGAGAAATATTTTATCATAGGTATACATGGGATACAATTTATTTTTTTCACTTAAAGTTCGCGCTTCACACAGAAGACCAAATATAATTTTTATTGTTAATATTCTTAAAAATAGTGTAATTTATCTCTAAGATTTATGATGACACGTGTCCCTTTAATCTGTTTTAAAATGAAATATGTTTCAAAAATTATAAAATAAAATATTATTCTTGGGGAAACAGTCAGTCAATGCTGTGATATTTGGCACTAATTCAGATTAAAATATGGACAGGATAAAATGTGATTAACACACCCTTACGACGTTTCTTTTTTCGGCCTGGTCTACATATATAGAATATAGAAATTAATTGAAGCCATATGCAGATATATTCAAGTTCTAATAATATCCTTTTCAGTCTTAACCTCAATTTCAGTACACCCTACAGGTCGCCTTCTGGTTCATGTCAATAAACATTGCCTTGGAGACCGACCCCTTTCTCATTTTATTTTACTCTTCTATCAAAAGATCGTGAAAGGTACATTAATACACGTATAAACCATAGTATTTTTTCAAGCCAATACAAAAAGAGCTTGGCAGTAAAATTTATGAGGACTTTATATCACTAAATGTCCATATTTGAGAACGATGTGCATGGTGTTCTTTATCCGTTGAACAATAACATTAAGTAAACAAACAGTATTTCGTCATATAACAAATGCAAAGCAAATGTATTAGTGTTTACATTATGCAAATATATTTTATATAATACTAATAAAACAATACCCATTTCGACTCCTGTGTATATATTCTTATCTATATATTCAATTTAATTACCGGTATTGTACTTTATGTAATGTAATTTGACAATAGCTTTGCTGATAAAGTCTGCAAAATATAATAATGACAGACTTATTAAGGGTTATTAGAGATTTCATGCTTGGAAGTAATTAAATTCATATTTTCATCGAAAACATCTAAAATGATATATGTATCCGACATTTAATAGAACTCATGAGGTAACCAATTTTTTAAACAATGGTTATCTTATAATTTCAAGGTCAATATATCATTACAGGACTTTCTGTTTTTCAAATATTATATTACAAAAGCTACATACAGAATGTGGAGAATATGAAAATATTCTGTTTATAATGGCCAAGGATGCTTACGATTGGCGTCAATATGTATTTCATTGCTAATTAATGTCCTTATAATATAACATTTTAAACCCAGATCTAACTATCATCTTGAAGATTTCGACACATTTCAAGGACCTGTTGATTGTTTACAACTTTAAATGTTCTCATGCAAAATCAGCATTTTTTGGCACAGATGGAGCTCCATAAGGGTGTTTCAACTGTTAAGTTTATCGCCTGACAAGCTGTCTAGACGGTGTATTTTTAGTTAAGTTTGTCACCAAATCTTTTTTACAAACCGAAAGTCGGTCATTAGGTTGTGCAAGCACAATCGGGCTTGTTTGCCCGCAAGACGTATATAAACTGTATACGGTAGGCAAGTATCCCTCACTGTTATAACATGCCTCCACATAAAAGTAGAAATATGATAAATAAGTCTAGACGGGATATTTATCATATTCACTGTGTTTATTTATGCTTGATCAACCCTCATTAGCCTGGCGTTTGTGCCCTTGAGTATAAATCCTTTCGAGTTGTAATGGCATGTTATTTAGGTTTACATACAGTCAGTTTTACGTTAACTCTTCGTATATAGACGTTTATGAAACCTAGGAAATGGGTCGCATGACTTTAAATGGAAATAGGTGATATTTGTATGTAGGCCATATTTGATTAAATTTCGCCTGTTATATTGCATAAATAGACAGTAAATAGTTAATCTATGAGCCTCCTTGGGAAAGTAAATAACAAATTGTACATGTCATTCTAACTATTTGTATCTGTATTTCAACTCTAAATGTTTTGGCACCTATTGTTTATCTGAGATGTAAATGATACATTCAAGGATAACTAATATATTCGTCACTGAAACCAAAATGCCACTTTCAGGGGACTTGTGAACAATTTGAGACTTATATGAGTGAATACCATGTTTTGTAAAACAACAATAGACTTAAAATTATGGGATAGAAATGATATATTTAATTGCATAATTATCGTTCTTGGGTAAGGCCGCATAGTATTTGAGACGATTTGATGCGACGTAATGTAATTGGCTTCTACTTTTGTTTTACAGATCTCTCAGACTTGACACAAAATCTATCCATGATCTACAGCAAGCGACACCTACACACTTATTATGGCCCCAAATGTATTGTGTATGTACTGATGCTGCCAGGAATCAAGTTCAGAAGACTACCAATCGTCCAGGAAACCAAGTTCCCGAGTAAATATTTGTGGTACGTATTGTGACTATCATGAAAATTCTCCTTTCCAAGACATCACGGACTCTTGCAACGACAAAATGTGGCCACACAGTGACACACTTTACACTAAGTTATCATTCACCTACAACTTAGAATTAACACGGTAAACATGAGAGAAAAATTGATGGTTTAAATGATTACACTAGGTAGACTATGAGTGTGTGGCACAGTATAATGCAATCACTCATATCGAGGATATACTCATGTTGTTATTCATTTTGAATGCAAAGTATATGTCTTAACATACGAGACAAACATCATTTTTTTTACACACTTTTTTTCCGGGTGTCTTTTTTTGTCCACTGTGCTATTTTTCCTGGGTCATATTTATCTGGAGAAATACATTTAAAAAAAATGAAAATATTCGGGAAAACCGAGAAGCTGAAACAAGACGGAAATTCGTGTTACAAACGCCTTATTTAGAAGACATTTGCTTTAACATTGTTTAAAATTTAATAACTTTATGAATCTAAAATCCAATAATTGTCACCACAGAGATACACATACGTGCCCCAAAAACTATATATGTAGAAATATACTCGATATCTTTTTGAAGTCTTTCTCTAGTCTAAAAATATCCTTTACCTAAACATGACTTAAATTATTACTGTTCATTCAAGCTGAACCGGCCTGTCATTGCATGTTGATGATCAAAGCTTATGAATCTCAACTCTTCTGTAGCCTTTTCTGTGAAGACGACCTTTCTTTACGGTCAAAGATATCAGAGAATTGCGCAAACGCTCTTTTCTTCATAATATGATCGATAGCGTATCCCGGCCGATCCCCATAATGCCTTATTGAAACACTGCTGGTCACTGATATTACATAAAGACATCATCATCATGACTGCAAAAGTAAAGTCCCACAATAATCATGTCGGTTCGATAAGATACTGTTGATGTTTACGTCCGCATCTTCCGCAATGGCGGATCCAAGTTGCGCCCTAGTCCCCGCTTCGTCCCTATATACAGTGCAAAAAAAGAAACAAAAATCACTTACAAAACCTTTCATAGGGAAAGTGTAAATTTGAGATTTTTGTTAGCTGGAGCCGTGGACCTTTGATGCCACAGCGTTGAACAAGCGGCATTATTTCGAAACCACCTCATATTTTTGTGGTGGAAACAATCTTGTTAGAAAGGACAATGATCCCAGAGAACAGGCAAGTGAAAAATTGTTGGGCGAACGAAGTTGAAATGAGAGAAAATTAAAGAGAAATGGACAATGTGTAAAATTCTGTTTCTGGCAGTATAACATCAACCGATAGAGAATTGTTTTTAGAAGAGTTATTTGCCGTTGAATCTGAATACGTCGCTTAGGCTACAACCATGAGCGTAATAGACTTCAGACATAATACTTAGCTTCAGCTTAATGTTATTTTTCAACGACATTCCTTTTTAAATTCGGCTGTGATCAATTCCCGATAATCAGTTTATGTCTTTTGGTCATGATCACATTTTGGTGTTCTGAAAATGCTCTATCTACCTATGATCACATTTTGTTGGTTTGTAAATGATCTAGCTACTTATAAGAGAACCACAATACGAATACCATTCATGGACTGTCCGGACGTCTGAACTGCTGCGGGTGATAGAGAGGCTGAAGGAGCTAAACCCCTAACTCAATATTTTCTATAACATTCGAAATCAAAAACACGAATTATAATTCAATATTTGTCAATTTCAATCAAAATGTATATATAGGAAGTGACAATCCTATATGCGCCAATATCGAAACAAACCGAGATCTTTCGCTTATAAACATACATATACGATTTTGATGGATCTGACAATGTATTTGTAGCTTGTGGGCCCTTTAGAGCTCACAGTTTTTATTTGATTGTAAAAGGCCTTTAAAATATATCACCGTTACACCTGCTTAGTCCATTCTACGCGTTTTATTATTATTTTGCCAATTATTGTGAATCAGGCATTATTAATTACTTCAGCATTGTTTTGTAGCCGAAGTTGTAGGACATGTTTATCTTTGTTTATAGCAAACGGCACCCGAAACCACAGAATACACAACCCGTATACTGATTATAAAATGTTCATTGTCTCTTAAAATATTTGATATGTCATGCTGTCTTACGTTAACGTTAGCATGACGCTCATTTACAAGCCTCCAAACGCGAGCACTCCTACGCCTATCGGTGAAATCCAGAGTAAATCTGGACTCATCAGAGAACATTACACGCGCCCATCGACGATTACCCCAATTTCTACGTTGCAAACACCATTGACGCCTGTTTACCATGTGTTGGCGAGTTAATGGAGGCACAACACGCGGTCGTCGCGCATGCAAATGGGCTGCATGTAACTCGAATTCCTGTAACTTGGTACAAGTTTACAGAAAGCTGATTGGCCGTTTGTCCTCGATTTCGCTGGACCAGTGTACGAATGTATCGATCCTGGGCTTGTGTAGTGGCTCTAGGGCGACCCGAACGAGGTCTATCATCAGCATTGTGTGTTTGTTGGTACCGGTTCCACAGTTTGCTGATCACACACTGTGACACATTAAGCATGTTGGCTACTGCTCGCTGTGTAGAACCCATTTGAAGCATGCCAATAGCACGTAGACGTTCATCATGTTGAAGACGTCTCATTGCAAATTAAACTTAACACACTAAAGCAAAGATACGCTAAACAGTAAATCTTATGTAAGAACCGATAGGAAAGCAAACATGGATAGGATAAACCAGCACGCGGCAGTTTTCATCAACCCTTCCTTGAAGTGTCAAATTTGACAATGAACCCCTCTCACGTGTATGGCGCTATTGCGTGTTGCAGGTGCAGCTCAGTGGTTCTGTTGGGGCGGCAAGTTCTTCATCTGTGAACATACTCTCAAAGCATGTCAAGTGTCCATAACTATTTATCATATCACAACCTGCATAGGTATTTGCATTTCAATATCCCCTACTTTTTTTGAAGAGTATATATCACCGTTACATAATAATTATGATCGAGCCCGAATTTCGTGAAAATCCGACAGAAACTTTCATTCAAATGGCCGCTCCCCTTTACGCAAATAGTACAAAAGCATGTAATGCCCAGGTTGTGGACCATCTAGAGGTCACAGTTTTTATCCGATTTAGATGAAACTTAAACCGAGTAGCACTAGTTCTTGGGTGGGTTCAATTTTGGTGCGCATTGGCCCCCATGCCTTTTACTCAAAATGTGAAATATGAATGAAGTTTGTGGACCTTCTAGAGGCGACAACTTTTGTCCGATTCATGAGTAACTGATTATCATTCAAAGACTTCGACATTGAAAACACGAATTATTTGTTAATTTAAATCAGCATTGATGTTGTGATTTTACGGGGAAAAGATGGGCTTCTGATATCAAATATTTAAGACAAAATAAACATTTTTACCATTGGTACACGAATCGTGTACTTTAATGCGTTTCAGCGCCATTAGTAACAAGGGACTTGAAGAACGATGCTAGACATATTCCACAAGTCATGCCAAACGGTAACGTCATATTCTTATCTGGAGAGCATGCACAGTAAAGACAAAATAAACATTTTTACCATTGGTACACGAATCGTGTACTTTAATGCGTTTCAGCGCCATTAGTAACAAGGGACTTGAAGAACGATGCTAGACATATTCCACAAGTCATGCCAAACGGTAACGTCATATTCTTATCTGGAGAGCATGCGCAATAAATACTATCGGTGTAGATTGGAATAACCAGACGCTAGAGATTGCCATTCGATTGAGACTTCTGGCGTATTTCGCCGAACAGAATTGATTCGAAATTAAGACTAAAAACGGAAACGATTGAATGTAAATCAGTTTATATACATTCATATTACATTATTATATCAGTTGCGACGCATTTGTATCATTTTCTAAGTCCCAAATATTAGCGATTTAGCTCCTTTCAACTATGTGTTAAGGATCAAAAGTTCTTGGATGAGTTCGACTTTGGTACGCATCAGACCTTACATTGTAGAGCTATAGCCCCTGTTTTTTTTTACTTACACAAAATTAATGTGAAATATGTATGAATCTTGTAGGCCCTCGGGGGGGGGGGGCTACATTATTGTCCCATTCTGAAGAATCTTAACAAATATGTTAAGGTTCAAACGATTTTGAATGAGAGGATGAGCCCCATCGATGATAAATCTTCCTCATACATTTCTTGAAAAATGTAGGCGCATGGTAACCGCTTGTTTCAACTGGTCATAACTGATAGCAGTGAATTATTTGATGGATAAGGGACACAAGGAAAGAGAGTGAGAAGAACTATGTCCCTTCGGGTTTTTTTTAATTACCTATATCTGTCATATATATATATATACAATGGGAGTGGGATGGGGTTGAACTGCATCCGTTATAAGTACATTACATTTACATGCCATGTCAAAATGACCGTTATCCTTGGTGGACTTGGGCTGTATGTCACAGTCAAATCTATATACACATGGGCTTGTCTCACAGTTTGTCTTCGATTTGGTTTACATGAGAGATTGTGTGTACACGAGGAGGTAATTTTAGCATATAATACTTACACGTGGGTCATATGTTTTACCCCACCTTTCGAAGAAAGCAGGGAACTATTAATATGGATTCTTCCGCCTTGACTGAGTTGGATGATGACCAATTTCAGCTACGGTTAAGCAGAGATAAGCAATTTGATTTGTCGATACTTTTGAATACGACAGTCTTGAACCTAGTTGAGTGATAGTGATGAAACTATACAATCTGATTAAAATACAGATCGAAATTTCGTTTCGTTTTTGTCCCCCGCCTTCTCGAAGAAAGCAGGGAACTATTAAAATGGGTCTGTCCGCCTATTTGTCTGTCTGTCCATCACACTTTTTGGGACACAATTACTTTCCTTCTAATTGTGCTAGAATGTTCAAACTTGGTGTAGGTGTTTGTTAGGTGAATGCCTTGATGGAGTTCAAAGATGAGCATTTTCTGCTTAGGGTAAACAGAGATAAGCAATTGATTGGTTGATGCT